ACCACAAGGTCTGCCTCCAGTGACTCATCTATATCTAAGGGCCGCCATGGCTAAGCAGGTTTAGCAGCTCAGATTTGTGGAGTTTGAGCAATGGTTCCCGCTGAGGAGAGATGACAGAGCATCAGAGGGCTTCTACACACCACTGTAGGAGGATTTCTATAATGCATATCTTAACAGTGGAGCTGTATTCAGATCTCAGAGGGTGTGCAACATTGAGTCCATTGTAGCAGCAGCTGGAGAGCATATTCTCCCTTATCTATCTTATTTGCCAGGGCTGATAGATTTACTCGGACAGACCAGCCTATATGTTCCATCTTGGGTCTGTGAGTTCTATGCTGCACTTTGGATTGACCCACACCACAGATTTATACACTTTGCATTCAGAGGCAGAGATTATAGGCTGATAAGCTCTAGAGTCAAGGAGATACTCAGGCTTTAGGAGTAGCCCGTCCGGCTACATGAGGTTTGCTATGGATAGATAGCGCCTCCCAGACGCCCACATGGCGGTATGGTGCCTCCTATAGATTTGGTTCGTCATTGCTTCATAGAGCCTTTTGGCGAGGGGTTGAGCAGGACACCCAGTGATCTCACTCCTACTTCTCGAGTGCTTGAGGCTATCATGAGGAGGACACTGCTTCCTAGGATGGGGTATCATGAGGGCTTGACTCGCATTCAGTTGTGGCTTCTCAACTCTCTGATGCAGCAGACTGTGTTTGACATTTGGGATCTCCTTCTATCAGAGATGGAGGATGCTATTGCATTGGGGTTCAGAGGTCATCGATAGTTGCCCTATGCCCATTGGATCACATTTCTTATTCACATGGCAGTTACTATGAGGCCACCTGAGATGCTAGCTGAGTATAGTGGTGCTACTACAGAGTTTCCTGTCTACAACATGACTCAGATGATCCGCCATAGTGCAGTGAGGCCACCTAGTCAGCCGCGCCATCGTCCAGATGTGCCAGAGTCTGCAGCCCTAGTAGGATGAGACCATTAGGGGCATTGCAGCTATAGAGGAGGAGCTTGATGCTCAGCATGAGGGCATGGTAGAGAGCGACCCCAGTGACAGCTCAGATGACGACTACTAGGCTATCCCTCAGATGCCTCCACGACAACATGATGCTGAGGCCGATAGCTCTAGTTTAGCTCCACCTACACCACAGACAGACCCCGCTCTACTTGCCATACTTGAGCGAATGAGGTAGGATCAGGCTCGCTAGGCTCAGGAGACCGCTGCTACATTTGCACAGTTCTAGACTTGGCAGGACGAGTTCCAATGATAGCAGCAGGCGATACAGCAGTAGCAGGCTATGCATCAGCAGCAGCTTCTCATGCAATAGAAACTACTTGGTTTTATGTAGCATGTTGTGACAGCCATTGGGGCTCCATCGCCACAGCCTTCACCCTAGATTGGTCAGCCTGCCACAACTTCTATGACTCTAGCATTACAGTCTAGTGGGCTTCAGAGTCAGGGACAACCACTAGCATAGTTTGCTTCACCTACAGAGTAGGTGTCCTAGTGGTTTGCCTTGCCAGTGCTAGCCCCGTAGTTCACACCTCTTCATACGGGCTTCACACTAGTGCAGACGTCCTCGCTACTTGTGCCCAAGACTACAGTGTCCAGGAGCCTTGTTGCTTCCTTCAGTGAGTTGACAGGGCAGCCTACTCCGCCATATTTATATGTCCTAGGTCCTTCTATAGTTGCACCTATTACCGGTACTACAGAGATGCTCTCTTACTCAGTGGCATCATCCGAGCCGGCTGCTACAGTCATACCAACACAGTCTACAGCCGCTCCAGTCCCTGATCCGACCCAGATCGCTTCTTCTAGCTATAAAGGGTCAGACTGCTCAGAGCTCAGGGTCAGATGATGATGGCACGTAGTTCTAGCTCGCTCCTCATACCTCAGCGCCCGGCTCGTCCGTTGCAGCCCCACCGACCGACCCTTAGATTTTAGTGTTTGACACCAAAGGGGGAGAGGGATCGAGTATGTTAGCCTTAGGGGGAGCCTACTTATTAGATTATCTATTACATTTGGAGTTTTATGTGTGATACGCTATTATGCATTCGTGTGTTTACTTTTATGCATCAAACTATATTTATGTGATAGTAATATCTACGTGATCATGATAGTTATGTGATATGTGATATGTGTGCTCTCTAATTTGAATTATTTATATGTCATATTACTTGTGCTATGCTCATTTGTTTTTGCTTCCGTGTTTTACTCCGATGCAAATGAGCTTTATTACTTGTACTCATGCTTATTTCATATCTATTGAGTACATCATGTTGGCTTAGGTCATATAAGCTTGCCTAACTCTTTTGTTCTTATTGTTAAAAGCTTATATGATCCAAGCATGTTAAAAACCTCATCTCTTTCACATACTTGAGGTGGTATTGTCATCAATCACCAAAAGGGGAGATATTGAAAGCATCTAGGCCCCTAGTTGGGTTTCGGTGATTAATGACAATACGTGATTACTGTGACTAACGTGTGTTTTGCAGAGGCAATTAAGTTAGGTCACGGTAATGGAGATCGATTGGGCAATCATGGTGGTCATGCCCCTATGATGGAAATCGTTTCAGTTTTCAAAGGATGGACGACAAGGTTAAGGATGGACTAGTTCTAAGTGTCGTTTGGTGTTGAAGAGACACTTAGAGTAGTTTAGGACTTTGTTTTTTTCCTTTGGCCGTACTATTAAGGGGGGTATGGACGGGTAGCTTGACTTAGGTGAGTTTAGTGAGTTAGGTGTGGTGCACACTTGCTAAATCTAGCACTAGGTAGCTCCAAAATAGCCCTTAGATCCATTAGAGCAGACTTAATTCACGCATGATCGAGAGTTAGAAGTGAATGGAGGGTCAAATGTTGACCGAATCGCTGGTTTCGGAGTGACCGGATGCTGGCTCAGAGCCCGATCAGTTCATTTGATCAAGGTAAAGTCGTCTGGAAGTGACCGGATCGCTGAGAGGTGAGTGACCGGATGCTGAGGGCCAGCGTCCGGTCGACTCCAGTAAGGTTCTAGAGAGGGAAATCATGACCGGACGCGTCCGGTCACAACTTAAACACTGGAGTTCGGGGAGAACTGACCGGAACGTCCGGTCAACATGACCGGAGTGTCTGGTCACCCCGCAAAGGCACATAACGGTTTATTTTTCAGCCGGTGTTATAAATACTTCCTCTATTTATGTGTGGGGGTACTTTTGCTCATTCCAACAACTGAGAAACACCTTTGAGAGTGCCAAGAAGAGCAAGGTCCTAGTGAGGTGATTGAGATTTGAGAATCCCAAAGAGAGCCCTCATTAGTGAAAGCAAGAGTAACAAAGTGTGCATCCACCCTTCTCATTAGGCTTGTCGTGGTCAAGTGAGAGTTCGTGCTTGTTACTCTTAGTGATCGCCATCACCTAGATGGCTTGGTGGTGATTGGGAGCTTGGTGATCATCCGGAGAGCTTGTGGATGACCCAACTCAAGTTGTGAGCGGTTGTGGGTGATTCACCGCAATGGAGTGTCGAAGAATCAATCCGTAGAGAGCACTTGATCATTGCGCGGATCAAGGAGGAGCTATACCCTTGCGCGGGTGCTCCAACGAGGACTAGTGGGGAGTGGCGATTCTCCAATACCTCGGTAAAACATCGTCGTGTTTCTCCTTCTCTCTTTACTTTGAGCATTTACTTTGAGCAATTCAATTCTTGTCTTTACATTCATAGAATTGCCATGCTAGAGTAGGATTGGAACTTAATTTGTAAGACTTTTTGTACGGTAGAACAATTTGAAACACTTTCTAGGCATAAGGGGTTAATTGGGCCAACCGTAGGATTTAATTATTGCAAAGGAATTTAGAATTAGCCCAATTCACCTTCCCTCTTGGACATCTTAATCCTTTCACAGTGGAACCCATGGCCTAAGTGACTACTTGTGATTTTATTTGCAGTTGTGGATTACCTATGACTACTTGTGACTACTTATGACTATTTGTGGTTGTGAATGAACCTACTAGTGATTCTGAAGTTTATTTGCATTTATGTGTTGTCGATATATCTATATGAACTGCCTGTGATGCTTATTGTGAACTATGTGTGATGCTTGTAATGTTTATTTGAATGGGGTACGTTATACATGACCGAACAATAAAAAAAGGAAATATATGGTCGCTTTGCGAAAGTGTTACACTCGGCAAAGAGGCATTTTGCTGAGTGTCGGATAAAAACACTCGGCAAGGCGGACACGTAGTAAATTTATGTGCATTCTGGGACTAAAATGACTTCTTTGTCGAGTGTCTGCGCTGTGACACTCGGCAAAGATGCCAACATTTATACGTTCTGGGCTAGTCTTTGCCGAGTGTCCGGTATTTGATACTCGGCAAAGAAGGCAGGTTTGCCAAGTGCCCGAGATTTGACACTCGGCAAACCAGCCAGGTTTGCCAAGTGTCCGGGAGTTGGCACTCGACAAAGGAGGTAGGTTTGCCGAGTGTTAGGTCCGGAACACTCGACAAACGCGCCGTGACCGTCTGCGCCGTCACGCGCACGCCGTCGAAGGCGTTTTTTTCTCGGCAAAGTATTTGCCGAGTTTCGAGAAAACTCTCGCAAAAGTATTTGCCGAGTAGATGCCATGTGCTAAAAGCCAGTGTTTTTATCTTTAGTGGTGCTTTGGTGCTTTCTTGTACCTATAATCAATCATGAGTATCATTCATATATTCCATTGTATTGCTAGTTAATACAAAATAGATCAGCATGATCACATATGTTCACACATTCGTACGAGGAGGCGAGGACCGAGGAGCATATTCAAACCAGTTCACATAAAAGAAGCTGATTCACACATATAACAGGTGAAAAAATTAACAGCATGTTCCATTCGCCAAGATACAGGGATAACAGTTAAGCAAAAGATCAACAGATAAGTCATGCCTACATATATATGTTTCCTAATAGTACAGAAGCTATAATTCAGAAATATTTTAGAGCTAAAGCTACAATAAACTTATAAGCAGGCTCATCATCAACATCTTTCTGACTTGCTCATATTGAGACCCATCTTCGCATCACCAATACAACCACACTCGGCATACATGTCCACCTGTGCACGCTTCACGTAAACCTGCATCTCAAACCCAAGCTTAACCATCAAACCATGTGACTGCTTCCCAACCACCAATGCGCCCCCATGTGAGTTTTTCCGCAGGTTGTGACCATCCATGTTGGTACATCGAGATTGGTGCCAGAAAGTGGGTATTGACTCTGTATAGAATACAGTTTATGTACAGAGATACTAGTCCCCTCTTCTCTTCCTCGTTTACCCCTCTCACCTCACCATTTCTCTCCTCGTCCTGTGTCCATACCCATGCCGCCTCCGCGCCTCGCCTTGTACGTCCACCGGCGCCAGCGAGGGGCCACTCGGCGGCTGCCACGGAAGAGAACGCATCTTTTCCTTGTGATGCACTTGCTAATTCTTGAATAACAATTTAAACTTTTCATTTATAAACATGGTTATTGAACAACCTACCGACTTTGCTTTCAAAACAAACGCATGGATTTATTTGCATGTTATATTTTTCCTTGCAATCTGACCATTTCATTGCATGGTAGTTGGTACAAACAGGCAATCTTCACAATGCAAAGTTGGTTTGAGTACATGCTGCACGAACTATTTCAAATGATATCTGGATAATAGAGGCAATTTGCCTAGTTGAAATGTGCAGACTATAGATGACAAGTTTCAGTTCAAGGCTTTGTTGACATCCAAAAATGAATATAAGCAATGCCAATAAGTTCTTGGCATCAAGGAAATGTTGGAAATTATTTGGCGCAACAAAACATTGAATAAGACAAGCAAAATGGAGAAGAGACGGCATCTGCCCTGGTGAGGTCATCTCGGCCGGCTCGCCAAGCCGGCTTATTTTTCTCTCGATCAAGCTTGTGCCAGCATTTCATTAAGCAGAAAACAATTGGGCCTGGTTTGGATTGTAGGATTTCCAAAGAAAAAGTACAGGAATCAAGATTCCTCTATTTTATGTACTGTTCATGCGTTTGAAACAAAGGATTGAGCATATCCTTTCCTATGGAAAGTTTCCTTCACCCGTGCAATTTGAAGAAAAAGAAAACATCCGGTCTAGGCCATTGGAAATTTTCCTGTGACATAATGCGGCACTGTAGCACTATTGTCGTGCATCAGTGAGAAATGGGACAAAACACAACAGCCCAGGAAACATTTTTTTTATCTATTCACGTCACTTGTGTTCTCGCCATGCACCAACTCTAGAACTTTGATCTACGATCTAGGCTTCAGTGTCCCATTGTTGAGTTAATGACCTAGGTACGGGACATAATTTTTTATTTTTTAGCCTTTTGTTTTTGAAAGTTTTTCACAAATAGGCTCCAGAAGGAATGATTTCAGAATCTGGACCCTTAGCTCAGCGCCATTGATGCTGGCACCGAGCTAACACGTCTCGGCGCCAGCGTCCCTGGCGCCGAGCTCTTGGGCTCGACGCTGACGTGAAGCTGATTTGGCAGGCATCTCGGCGCCGTCGACTCTGGTGCCGAGCTTGGCGCCATCGACTCTGGCGCCGAACTTGGCGCCAGGATGTATGGCGCCGAGCGTGGGGTGGCGCCGGCGATGGCGGGCGCTGCAGAGCGCTTCGAGGCGAGGTGCGGGCGGCGACGCTTCGAGAGCTAGCGATGCTGAGGGACGAGAGACATGGCGCGAGCCCCGGACAGCCTCTCAGTCTGCTGCGCCTCTCAGTCTGTTGCGGCTCGCGCTGTCAAGTTCATACGGCCCTGGCCATTGGAATATCAACTATCAAGTTCGTACGGCCCTGGCCTGCACTTCCCGCCAGTCACACACCGAAGTGTCCGTATATACGACCATGGTGCATGCATCTCCGTACCGTGTCAACAGGCGGTTGTCAATGACAGTGAGCAGTGCACTCAGTGCTGCTACGGACGCACGGAGCCAGTCAACAGGCGGTCGTCCAGAACTAGTAGAACTAAGAGTCTGTTTATCTAACGCTCGGGTGTTTTAGTATATGAGAACACACGAATTTTTTCCACATGGATATTGTTTATCTTCCTCCTCTCTCTCTTTTTCCTTGGCACAAATCACAAATCATAAATAACAAATCACAAGTAATAATTTTTTTCTATGAAAGGGCAAAGAGAAAATTTGGTGACGGCGCCGGAGTTAGGATAGAAGAAGCTCGCCGGAGTTGGGGAAGATGCCAGGCGCGGCGGCGGCGGCGTGGCGACGGGCGGGCATAGGCACAGCGACGCAGGCGCGACAGCGACGTGGGCACGACGGTGCAGGCGTGGTAAAAAAAATTCGTGTGCCACCAGGTGATAAACACTCGATTGGTGTATAGCATTTCCGTAGAACTAAACGTGTCTCATCGATTCACCACGCACGAATGGCGGCAGTGCATGCGATGGGGGCAAGTGTGCGTGCGTGTGATGGATATGCGTCGCGATCCGGCCCAGATGGACGTCAATATCGCTCGTGGCTCATGTCCCACGTCCCACAAGAGCAAAGCGCGTGCAGGACGGCAGTCGGCAGGGCATGGCCGTGTCGACTCGTCGTGTCACCCGGCTCGCAGCAAGCGACGAATATGGCAGGTCTTTAGAGGAAGAGAAATGTTCATTGCATACGTGCAGAGGAAAAGAAACGGAAGTGGGATGAGTACGTTGGGCAACCGGCCGGCCGCCGCACGCCGGCCTCTCTCATAAAGGCAAAAAAAGGAGCAACGAGGAGTGGTGCGCGGCCGAACAGGACTACTACAGCCAACACAAGAGATCCCAATCATCCGCGACACAGCGGCTTGCAGGGCGGACCGTATATGTGAGCAGTTTCGGGCGCATGCATACATGGACGCAGAAGAAGAGTATGACTTACAGCGACAGCCGCCGCAGATCGAGAGGCGCAGCAGACTGAGAGGCTGTCCGGGGGTCGTGCCATGTCTTCTGTCCCTGCTACTGCTAGCTCCATGAGCGGTCGCCGTCGTGCCTGCCCCGAGCGCTCCGCAGCGTCCTGCCACTGCCAGCGCTCACCCCACGCTCGGCGCCATACATCCTGGCGCCAAGCTCGGCGCCAGAGTCGACGGCGCCAAGCTCAGCGCCAGTGTCGACGACGCCGAGATGCCTGCCAAATCAGCATCACGTCAGCGTCGAGCCCAAGAGCTCAGCGCCAGGGACGCTGGCGCCGAGACGTGTTAGCTCAGCGCCAGCACCGATGGCGCCGAGCTAAGGGTTTAGATTCTAAAATCTTTCCTCGAGGGCGTATTTGTGATAAACTTTAAAAAAAAAGGGGGGCTAAAAAAAAAAAAAAAATTCGGGCTACGGGACCAGGAAGCTGAGTGAGCGCGCGTGAGCCCTCCCTTCCCCGTCCGCCGGTGGCCACTCCGGCCCCGGCGTCCGCCCTCCACATCGCCGTTGGCCACTCCGGCCGCGCCGCACACACCACTCATGGAGCCGGGGTCTTCTTCCCGCCGCTCCTGGGCTGACGAGGTCGAGGAGGAGGAGGAGGCTGCTCGGAGTGCCGCGAGATCTGCATTCCTGGAGCTCCCTCCGTTGGCGGCGGCTGCGCATGCCGCCCTCGTGCTCCAGGCGAGCTCTCTTGGCCCAGACGCCGCCCCGTTCGTCGCTTCCCCTGGCTCGACGTCGATGTTGGGCGCCAGCGAACTGTGGAAGACAAAAGCACCGCCTCGCGTCAAGTTCTTCTGGCTCGCGCTCCACCGTCGCTTATGGACCGCCGAGCGGCGCAAGAGGCATGGTCTGCAGGACGACGATGCCTGCGTCCTCTGTGGCCAAGCACCAGAGACAGTCGACCACCTATTTCTGGGATGCGTGCTCACCAGAGAGCTCTGGTTCTCCTTGCTTGGCTCCAGTTGGCCTGACGGCGCCGATGCCTGAAGGCGCAGATGACCTGGGATCTTGGTGGCTTCGGCAGCGGCGGAGGTTGGACAACGATGCACGGCCACCGTTCGACTCCCTGATGTTGCTCATTTCGTGGGCCATTTGGAAGGAACGGAACAATAGGACTTTCTCCAGAACGGTGGCAGGAACTCAAGAGCTCTTCAGGAAGGTCGTGCAGGAGGCTGAAGACTGGGTGCAGACAGGCTTCAAGACGCTCGCCGTGGTCTGTCCGATTTGGTCGCAAAACACCGTTTTTATGTAATAGGAGTATAGGACATGTGCTTTCCCAGTAGTTAGGTGTTTGCGCTGATCTACGAAGGCTACTCGCCAACGTAACTGCATGCTGTGTTTTAACAAACTTCCTCTAAATGAAAAACAGGTGAATGGCCCCATCGTGAAAAAAAAAATGACCTACCAAAGCTAATCTCAAGCTACCAAGTTTAACAAAACAGGCACATCATTAGTCCAAATAAAATCAGATTCTTCTACTACCTCACTCCTGCATTCCAAACGCTCATTCCTATAAAATTCTTGTGTTTTTCTATTCCTTTGTTTTACCACCATGTCCCTTTCCTATTCCCAGTATTTTCTCTCGTTCCTACATTTTTCATTCCCCAGTTAATAACAGGCCCCTGAAGTTTTACAGAGTGTCGGCCGCCCTGCTAGCGAGATTCATGCAGGTGCAAGCCATCATGGAGTACATGAAAGCTTAATAGCCAAACTATTGTGCGACCTCCGCGCCAACAGAACTGCCAGGTCCGAGAAGCCGGCATGCATCCATTCTTCAAGCTCGTCGACGATGCTCTTGCCCAGCTGAACTGGGGTCTTGGTCGTGTTTCTGAAAACTCTGGCGTTCCTCTCTTTCCAAAGTAGGAGCGTAGTCCTCCATGGTACGGAGCGCGACGTCGCCATGGTAGTAGGGGCCGATGGACACCATGCGCGGCTCGTAGGCAGTCGGGTTGCTCGCGCGGACGTAGGCGGGGACGCGGAAGATGGTGAACGGCTGATCCCTCCACTGCGGCAACTGTTCTTGCAGGGTGCTCAGCTTCGCCTCCACTGAAGCTTCCAACGACGTCATGCTCGCCATGGCGATAGGCGAGGAGGGAAATAAAAAAGGCAGGCAATGAGACAAATACCTCGTTCAGGTTCAGCCACCAGACTCGAGGTCAAGCTAAGGAGGAAGAAAGCCCCGAGCTGTTTCCCTGGCCCTGTCCTTGCCCTAACAACACGCGGGTTTTTTTCCCCCCGAGAACGTGCTTAGCACGTGTTTGCACTCGGGAATCTTTCAATGCAAGCGAGAGCTAACGCGGCAAGACAAGTAGATAGACTGGTCTGTGCGCGATATGAAAGTAATTACAGCATCATCCATCACTTACGATGCAACTTCCTCCTCTGTTCTTTGCACTGCAGAGAATGGAACCACGGATCGACATGTGGATGATGCCTACGAAAAACTGGACTGATGTATCTTGCGTACGGCACCATCCAATAGGCGGGAGACAGAACAGATTTTTTTTTAACTCATAACAGATTATTGCTAGAAGCCTAGAATTAGTAGACAGGCTATTCACCAGGCATTTCTAGAACCATGTTGATTTGGGATACCCAACCCAACACATACCGCGTACTCTCTTGAAATATAAGACATTCAAATATTTATTCCAAACTATAAGAGATGATAGAGGTGAAATAACAGTGCTCCAACTTAATTTTGAAAACAAGCATTGTATAAATGCTCCCTCCGTCCCAAATAAATCAATTCTTAGAATCCGTGCCAATCAAATTATCTTAAGTTTAACTTAATTTAATGTCATAAATCTTGACAAGTTTTTCTAGAAATTCAGTCAAAGTTTAAAAAGTTTGACTCAAGATAACTTTAGGAATCTATTTATCAGAGAGAGGTAGTACATAACATAACATAACATTATTGTATCACCCACTTAAATACGATGATCACAAATTTCACAATATATCCTCTCCTCGCGATTAAGAGCTACCTACTAGTACTAGAACTTGCTTTCTCCTCCCGATTAAGAGCAAGCTACCTACTACTTACTAAATTTCTAAACTAAGCTTTATTATATACAATGTTTTTTCTCACAACAAATCAGCAAACAAGACCTTAGTATATATTATGTGCCTAGTACTAGAATTGCTAGGATAATATTTAGGTCGGAGTATACCACATACGACGCTGTATTAAGCGGAACGCAAATGCCATGAAAGCAAACACCTCAACGCCCATGGATCTCCCATATATAAATGATCATATAAAATGAGGCTTTCACCCGGCCTCTTATCGGGCTTGAAATTTTTTTTAAAATGCAGTAACATTCTCAAATATGCTTGCTTACTTATTGCCTATCCGTTCAGTTTTTCTTTCAAATAAAAACCAATCAGATATACAAAACTCTGCTTCACGGCCTGAACATGTTTCCTCACACGACACATTCGATACCATACAAGCACATCCCACAGAAATATTGATCTAAAAAGAAAAAGGAAATCGAAAAGAAAAACACAAAATCACGATATAAGAAAAAAAAATCACAGCTGCCTTCCTCTTCGTCCTGGTTACAGTAGAAAACTACTGTCCAATGCAAAGCAATCCTCTAGTGCACGAACTTGAAATATAGGATCACAAGGATAGCCAAGACAAGGACTGCTATGATGAGACCAATGATCCACTTGTTTCTATCCATTCTCCTCATCATGCCTCCGATGATCCTCCTGCTCTTGCCAACATTGTTATCCACCTCATCCAACTGCAGTTCCAAATAAGGATCACACAACACGGGGTTAAATAGGAAACAGGAGATTTGAACCAAACAGACAGCAACCGCTCGTTGGTAATTGTGGATACCAGTTATTGCATTTAACTGGTGTATGGCAGCATGGACTCTGGCATCAACTATTGCCCATATTTGTTTGAACATAAACTATGGACTACGAGTTGGTAGTGAAGAACAAGCTATACTGTGTTTTTCTAATCCAAGTTGATGCATTAGATGATCTGATAACCATCGAAACTTGGTGACGTCTGGTTCAATTAATAATAAGTTTATATTAATATCCATCTATCTATTATCTATGCAAGTCATCCCCACTCAGCAATTAATTACTCTAAAGACTCCATATTGATAGGGCTCAGTGTTTCAGGCGTGTGCCCCCGCAGTGGTATGTATGTCTTTAGGCATGTGAAAATAGGTGCACTTAATGAACATGTGCAATGCTTGTCAATTACATCAGTCACAAGTACCATAAAAATGGAAGGGGGGGGGTACTCTATGGAATTAAAAGTAAGTCTATGCATGACAACAAATGAAAACATTGAGGAGTTATTAAAACTCAGCCAATATAGATACTACGGATAACCAGGAAAAAGAACTGTTGAAGAAAGTAGGTCAGGCTCTACACTCTCTCCTTTAATGTTTGCTGACACCAAAAGGCATAATAAACATAATTATCCACATAAAACTTGTATGCATAACATTTTTTAAACAGTAGACTATGGAAAGCTACATTTCATCTAATCAGAAACAGAATAAGATAGAGAGAAACTTGCGACTTGTGAGTGATTTCCTTTCAACAAATTGCATAGTACTGGAGGTTTAAGATAATTTAATTTAAAACAAAACCAAATGGCACACAAAAACCAAAACAATTAGTTCAAACCGGCAGAATTAGAAAAAACAGATACTTACCACATCATGACCACGCAAGAGAGATTGGCGCTGTTGATTCAGGTCATGCAAGATGGAGACACCAAGATCTTCAGTCTCCAGCATAGTTTTATGGCTATCTCTGAGCCTATCAGTTGTTCGGTTCTCTCTCTCGGTTGCCCTGAGCAATCTTGACCTTTGATCAGCAGAAACCTGTGTGATCATCAAAAAACAACATTAGACTCTCATGGAGACCGTCAACTTTTTATTTGCAGGTTGAAGGATAAACCCATGTAACTAACAAATAAACAAATCTAAGATTGATGATGAATCAGAAATATGTGCGTGCAAAAGGACAAGGGCCTCATACTTCATCAGAATATGAATGTTGCCAGATTGATATGGTTAGACCCTAGCCATATGGATTCTGGACAGCATATGCCATAGCATGCAGGACACATTACTATCACCTTGCAGGCATTATTGATAGCTTTGGCTTATCCATGCTACAGGGATAGTATTTAGAATTTTCTAGATTGGTATAGAGCTGCCTCAACAAAAATTGATTGATATTTTCGATGAACAAAATGGGAAAACATGTGCTTCGCCATTCAGAGTGTGTTTATGATGAAATGTGAATTCATTCACTACAAGTCCATGAAACAACCAAAGAACACATCCTGACATTAGCTACTCATTCAAGGCATTGCTTTTGTCCCAACTAGCTCCACATCTGTAATTTGGAAGGTTCAATGCTTCCACTCACTGCAGTACTGAGAGGAGCCATAGACACTTGTATCCTGATCACAGAGCTAAAATCCCAGAACTTAAGCCAAATTAACACCAACCAAACAGGTATGTTTATGTGTCATTTCTGACAAATAACCAATAGAAAATGATGGTTCAGATATAGACATGCCTTGCACAACCTTGTTAACAAACCAAAAAGAGCATGATTCACTCCAGATGAAATTGATCCATGAATCCAGAAAAAGGTAACATACCCCCAATGCATCTGCCATTTCTGACTCCAACAACTCCTCCCTCACCCCCTGCTGTGCATTACCACTGGTAATCCTCTTCAGCGCTCCCTTGAGGTTATTAAGATCTGACTTGTACTCCCTGATCTTTGCTAGGAGCCCAGCTCTAATGCTCGGTTGGAGATTCCTTGCTTCGAGATCCATCTTCCTTATCTGAAAACAAAACAACATTACCAATATACAATAGTACATGTCTTGCGCCAGACGAGAAAACTTTCATTTGATCACTGCTTAGGCGCTTAGCCTGATCTTAAAAGAAGGAAACGTCCCTAAATTTACACAATTATGTAATCCGTAGAATTGAAATTCTTCCACGATCGATACAAAATACAGCTCTCAAGAAGGATCTTTCATTGTTTTTTCCCTACCTACAGCTGTATAATTCCAAAGCCAAATCCAGTGCGATTTCGTGAGGGTGGTGTATCCTTCGGCTACTTGGTAACAAGGACGAATCGGCATGTTTAATAAAACAAACAAAAAAAAAGGAGAGGCGAGGGGATACCAGTGCCTCAGCGCCATCGATGCCGGATTGGATCTCCGCCGCCTTCTGCTTCAACTTCTCTGCGCGACCAAAAATCCAATGAATAGACGATTCGGAGGGGGGGACAACCGAGATTGCGGGATTTGGGAAGGGTGGGGGATTACCTCCTTGTAGGGCGGCGGCGGCGGTGCATTTGCGGGTGAGGGAGGCGGACGCCTCGCAATACTGGCGCTCATAGCCCTCGAACACCTCGCTCATGGCGCCCAGAATTCGATCCCAATCACCGTCTGGCTAAACCCTCGAAACTTTCTCTGGAGCGATCGCGTCGAGAGGAGTCGAGGCGAAGGAAGGAAGAAATGGGGAAGGACACGAGTAGTCGATGGTTTCTGGTGGTGGGGCTAGCCTTCCTCGCCTCGCGCCCTCGCCTCTCTAGCGCGGCCAACAAAAAAAGCTTACCCAGGACAGCCAAATTGGCTCGCTCCCAAGGGCAAGGTAAATCTTGCCCACACAGGTCCCAAGGTGGCAAAGGTGTTTTTATTAGACATCTACTCCGTCCACGTAAGAATGCAATTATGGTATCCGTGCCGATCAATCGAGCTAAAGTTTGATCAAGTTTATAGTAAATAGTATTCGCAATTATGTTGCTAAATAAATTTATTATAAAAACATATTTTATAACTAATCTAATGATACTTATTTTGTATCATGACTGTTTATATTTTTTTATATAAATTTAGTCTATTTGACTCCTCAAAATATGAAAATTGCATTCTTCTATGGACGGAGAGAGTAAATAAATAAGCTGGCTCTATATCCTCGCTGAGCAAGGTAATATAGTTGCTAGCTATCGAACCAAGCGACCTATTTGTTTGGGGTAAAAATTGGAAGGAGGAATTGAGAGCTTGGAGATAAAAAAATAGAAATCTTTTGTTTGTTTTTATGCGTGAGAGTTTTGTTGGGTAGGAGAATAAGAGTTTAGAGGATTAACTCCCACTTCGATGAGAATTATGTTTTTAATGAAAGATAAATAAATTTTCACCACCAATCATGACTTGTCATATAATTTCTTACTCAGAATCCCACACCAAATGGGAGTTATGAATTTTCTTTCTTATTTCCTTTCACGACACAAACGAGACATTGGGACCAAAATTCAAATTCTCACCTTAACTCACTGTGTCAACTCCCACCACTAATTTTCATGTCCCTTCCCATATAATTGCCAAACACACCGAGGGTTAATTTGAACTACACCATTATAAACTTCACGGATTGAAGATCTATCATTACTATTTATCTATTTGTAAATACTCACTCCGTTCCAAAAAAGAGTGAAGTTTTTGACTTTCAAACATCGTGTTTGACCGTTCGTCTTATTAAAAAAATTATGTGTAAATTATATAATAAAGAAATCATTATTAAAGTATCTCTAATGATAAAATAAGTCATAACAAAATCGATGATATTTATACAAAAAATTTGAATAAGACAGATGGCCAAACAGGATATCTGAAAATAAATAAAGACACTCTTTTTGGGAAGGAGGGAATATGTTATTACATTTGACCGTGTTCCACGAAGCATGCCATTTTGTACGTCATAGATGCCTTTAAACAATCGTATTGTCGTATTGCCCAAAATACCCTTTTTGTTTTCATCTGTTTCTTCTTCTCCTTGATCCAAAGACATGAAGGTATTGTCGTCGGCGGACATGGCGGCGGCTATCCCCATCCCCAATCATCGTGCCCCACTTTCCCATGGCAAGGGCGCCACACAGGTGCAACCACCACCGTCGCTCTTTCTCCACCACCATCTTGCGACCTCGAGTCCTTGTCCCTGCTATCACTCACCGGATGAAGGACCTAGGGAGTCAGCCATGGCGAGTTGAGCTCACCTAATGCGGCCACATATCTAGGTGTGGGCGCGGTTGTGGAGTTGGTGTGTGGCGCGGGCACGACGTGAGCTGCTGGTTAAGGTGTGGGTGCGTGGGCTAGCTAGCTCATGGAAGCGCGGGCGTGGCGGATGACGTGCAACCTTGGTGACCGGTGGAGACATGGGTGCCGCCGAGGCACAACAGATGCAGCATGGGTTGTCGTGGCGACGACTAATGGCGCAAGAGGGTGAGGAAGAAGGTGGATTAGTGAGTAAGGGGAAGGGATGACACGTGGGGTCCACTTATAAGTGAGGTGGAGAGCTAGAGTAAAGTAGTCCATACAAAAAGATTGCATTGTATAGATGTCTGCAAATGGATTCAGGGATGAGTCAAACATAGAAAATGGCACCACCCAAGTGCACAACCAATTATAATGGTATATTTCTAAAGAGATAGATAATAACGGTAATTTTCCATACCACGACATTTATAATGGCATGGTTCAAATTAACCCTTTACGCAAAACCCAATCCTAATCCTATGGATAATTTCAATTATTATTTGTATCCCTCACACCTGCTTTGTAGGAAGTTTTTTTTCTTTTCACGTGCACGTTGGGTAGAAAAGATAATGGATCTGTACAGCGATCCTTGGACGATCGATCTGCAGCATAGGTCCTGTTTGTTTCACTGAAAAAACAAGCCAAAACATTGTTTTGGCTGATTTGTTGTGAGAGAAAAACACTGTTCCGACTAAAAAATAAGCTAAAAAGATGGATTATAAGAGAAACGAACGTGGCCGTAATAATTCTTGAAAAGACCTAGCTCCGTGCTCATGGTGTCTCCATCCGTGCCTTCAATCAAGATTCAAGAGAGCTTCTGAGAACCAACGGAGCATTATTGTACTAGCTCCTATTATTAAACAATATTACTTGATGTTTGGCACGGTTTAATTAATCTCCAATTAGTTACATTATGCTGTAAGAGACCGAAGCCAAATTTCAGCGAAAATGCTAATACTTATGCGGATTTGTTTTGAGAAGAAAGCACTAGTTCGCTAAAAAATACTACTGAAGTAGTGCTGCAGAACAGGCGTATGACCGGTGGGCCGAGAGGTATCGGTGAACTCTAAGGCTAATCTCAGTAGGAGGTTTATGTGAGTTTCATTTTGTATTAAATAGGTTGTCACATAAATATCCTTGATAATATGACAGTGTATTTGAAAAGAGAGATGAGAAATGAGTTTCATCTAGAAACTTTGATGACACTATTACCAACTCTCTATAAATTATGAAATTAAATACTTATGAAATTATAGAATCAAACTTTACATCGAAAATATGTGTTTCATTCGAGTTTTATTTCATTGTATATGTCGTGAAACTATCCACTTGAGACTGAGCTAATGCACGATGATCGTGCTCTAGCGTGACCAGATGACTCGGTGTCAGTGTTGTCTCCGTCGGAGGCAGGTTGGGATTTGCATCTTCCTTAACTTTAGATTCCTGACGGTAGCTGGCTCAACGGTGGCCACGTGCCGACCATGTTGATGGGGGTTGTATTTGGGTGGAGAGGGGCGGGGGATGCTCATCGGCTACCAGGTAACTATCATTTAGAGAATATGGTTGTTATTGGTGATATGTCTGAATAAGCACGATAGGTTTTGAATGTATGTATGTTCAACTTTGTTAATCTCTCTTGTCTTAAAAATTAGGGTAAAATATATTTTTCAACCTCCAACTCACATTAAGTTCGATTTTCAATCTTTAACTATGAAATCGGGTAACAAACACCCTTCAACTGTCAAAACCGGACAAATTTGGTCATCGGCTGGATTCAAAAGCGGTTTTCTATTTTCTAATAATAATAAAAATCTGGTTCTACCTCTAGAAGTTCGTAATTAATTTATTTTAAATTATAAAAATATAAAACTTAGTTCATGTTTTCTTCTAAAGATGTTATATATATGTTGATGCTATATTTAAAATTGTTTTTAATTTCGCACATAATTAAATTGTTCGCTTTCTGTTCTTTTACATGGCAGTTCGTTGCCTTCGTCTCCGCAAGCCAAAAACAACTCAAGAGGCGGGCGCCAAGCCCTGTATTAATATATACAGTAGCATTGCTATCCCTTGCCCGCATTTATTTTAGATCAGAAAAATATGAAACTAGTACTTTTTTCGAAAAATGTTCTCTACTTATTTATGGTCTATATATAGGTATTTGGAATTGGTTTATTTATGTTCCTACTGCTTTATCGCTCGTTGTCACTCTTGTTATTTATATAAATTAAGTAAGGTCTAAACAATTTTAAATATAGCATCAACATATATATAACATTTTTAGAAGAAAAAATGAACTGGTTTTATATTTTTATAATTTAAAATAAATTAATTACGAACTAGTTGCAAGTGTATGTTATAGGTGTTTCAACTGTTTCAAACGAATGTTTCAAGTTGTTTATCTGGATGTTGTAAAAATACTTCTGGATGTTGCATATGTTGCAATACGTATATAAAAATATTTCATCTGTTTTCAAACGTACGTTGCAGCAAGTGTTTAATTTGGATGTTGCATATGTTTCACGTATGTTTCAATTGTATGTTCTTAATGTTTCATTTATTTTAGACATATATTATTGCATTCAAGTGTTTCATGTTTAGAGGTATGTTCGGATAGTCACGGGAGCGCTGTGGGTGATGGGGGCATGGCCCGAGCGGGGGGATAGGGTGCGGCGAGCTAGAGGCCTAAGAACAAGGCGAGTCGGGGCCAGTGGCCGGCAGCCAAGGCGCGCTGGGGCCGGCGGACGTGCACGCGGGAAATGAATGCAGTAGGCGTGGGCATCCGGATGTCAACACAGTAGGTGCAGCCGTCCGGATGTCCAGGCGCTAGCCTGTCCGTTATTTGTATCCCCCACAGCTTGGCTTCGTAGGAAGTCCCCTTTTTTTCTTTCTTTTCTGGTACACACTGTGTAGAAAAAGATATAATGGATCTCTCAATCCTCGGACGATAGATGCTCATGGTGTCTCTATGTGCCTTCAATCAAGATTCAAGAGAGCTTTTGAGAACCAACCGAGCATTATATATTGTACTAGCTCCTCTCAAACAATATTACTTGATGTTTGGCATGGATTAATTAATCTGCAATTAGTTACATTATTATGTTGTAAGAGACCTCAAGTAATAATGATCGAAGGGCGGAGAGGTTGAACTCTAATGCATGATGGCCATGCTCTCGCTACGTCCGCTAGAGGCGGGTTAGGATTTGCATCTTCCTTGACTCTATCCCTGACAGTAGGCTTGGCCAATGGTGAGTGGGCGAGGCGGCAAAGAGTCGCCGACCGTGGTGATAGAGGCTGTATTTGGGTGGAGAGGGGCAGGGTACG